CGGGTACGCAGTAGCTCAGACAGAAATTACAGACTTGATGCACATACTGCTGGGTGAATTTATACGGCCTGTGTTATGTAGGAGGTCAGATTAACTGATAATGGTCCCTTCTGGACTTAAAAATCTAGGACTACAGGGCGATTCTTAGCTGGTATAAATCAGGGGCATTCCACTGATTGCAACAGAGCTAAGATGATTTACCTCAGCAGAGGATTGGGCCCTCAGGTCTTTTTTTTTTTTTATTTTTAATTTATTAAAGTAGCAATTCAACTCAGCCTCAACCCTAAATAAAATCCAAGTTCCTTGCTAAAGGCCTTGCGTAGTGGGGCTCCCCAGGCTGGGAAGGACCAAGCTTTGTTCAGAAATTGCATGGGCTTTTCCTGTTTCTGTAACTTGGCTTGGAGCTGGCCTTTGGGTGTCAACTTTGCCTCTCCACATTCAGATGTCACTTGTGATCTGAAATAAGGGTCTTCAGTAAAATCCCGTGGGGTAGATCTTTGAACGCCATCTGGACTGCAGCACAATAATAGAGCCAAAGAGACTTCATTGGTACCTGACTACAAAATACTTTACACTTTAAGAGCAAGATTGCAGCATTTGCCACAAACCTGAAGCAGTGGGCGATACAGGGTTGCCCTGCCCCAGGAGAAGAGAGGTAGAAACCATATCTCAGGTAGGCACACACTCCCCAGCACTCTTCCGTGCACATGGCAAGCACCAGTATTCAGGCTGATGCAGAATGCCTCCTTTGGCAGGCCAGCCATACTCCACAGGCTGGGGCAGAGGGACTGCAGGGCCAAGGCCCCATCTCCTGCCCACCTTCTTCCAGCAACACTGATATTTGAGAGGAGTTGGGGTGAGCTGTCCACGCACTCCCCAGCACACAGGGAGTGCAGGGTTACTATTACTTCTACTGTTGAGCAGCCATGCAAGCTTGAGGCAGCTTCTTACCGTTCCCTCCACTGCCAGTCAAGGCCAGCTCACAATCTGGCCCTAAAAACCATTTTTATTTACGTAATAATGTTAAGAAAATACACACATCACATTACCTGTGTAACAAGGGCTGGATTTTCCACTCTTGATACTGGCCAAACTCCCCACTGATTTCACTGGGTAATTCCCCTGAGCAAGAGTGCAGGTCAGGCCTGGCCCAGAGCTACTGCTAACTACAAAATGACTTTATTATGCAACACTAATGGGACAGTTTATTGGAAGCCTAAAACTTGTCTTGTTAAATATGCTCACACGATTGGATTTCAGTTATGCTTTGCTGAAAACCAGAATTTGCTGCAAGAATTCCAGTATCACTTAGATTTTCTGAAAGAAAATGGCTGAGTGATGATCAGAAATCCATACAAAAATTATCAGTGGGATCTCTTAACAGCACTCTGATCCTCTAAGGACTGTACTGCTAGTCCTACAGTGTCCATACAACAAGAACTGAAAAGAACATACAGTGTTCTTAGGAAATCATCTGGTTAGGTTACGTCTGTGCTTCCAGAGTACTGTGAACCTTTAGGAAGAGGCTGTTTTGGACTGATAAATACTAGCAAAAGGATTCCAATTACAGTCTGTCTGCTTCATTTTTATTTTTACAAAGGCATACATAAAACCTGTGACCAGGCTGCAAGGAGTTCTCCTTTAAAAAGAAATCTGGCATTCATGTCTAGCTTTTCTCCAGGTCTATTTTAACCCAATGCCTCAGCAGCAGCTCCTTCAAGAGCTAAGACTTGGCTGATGAGAGTTAAGTCACTTCTGGCCCTCAGCAGGCGTCTATGTAATTTTCTCCTGCCAGTTACGTCAGTAAGGCCCCGCAAAGGCACTGTTCTTGAATCATTCAGGCTACATTAGCAATGTGTTTTCTTAAAAAAACCTTTATCTTGCAGTTCATTGCAATGAGCACCAAAAAAAAGTGCTGCTGATAAAACCCAATAATACACTGAAAAATAGGACAATGCTATTACCGAAAAATGGAACATTTTTGAATAGACCTGATTTGGGTGGCAAAATGGAAATTGAAACACAGAAGAAAACCCCAGTCTGGGAGGCACTGTCGCGTCTCTTACAGTGCTTGTTATTTGTTTGAAAAGGAAGGATGCATTTTTCCAGTTCATTGAGGCAGAAAGACAGGACAGAAAAATTTATTTTGTTTTATTATTTAGCAGCCAAATAGTTTGCAGCAATGGATTTTGCAAGACTGATTCATGGGAAGTCCCAGAGCTCATCATTTACAGATGGTGCAAGAGCGTTGTGGGGCACAGACATGGGGACTTTGTCCATGTTTTTAGGGTTATGCTTGTTTTATTTAGATAAAAAGAGAAACGGGGACAGGATTTGAACAGGGGAGGCAGAGTGGACTACAGCATGGGAGTGGAACTCTGGAGGCCTGGGCTCTATTCCCAGCTCTGCTACTGGCCTGCTGCGTGAGCCTGGGCAAATCACTGTGCCTCAGTTTCCCCATAAGTAAAATGGGGATAGTGATACTGAAATCCTTTGCAAAGTGCTTTGAGATCTACTGGTGAAAAGCACTTATAAGACCAAAGTATTATTTTATTGTAAATGTCCTGATTTGTTCCAGCAAACTATAAAGTAATTTAATTGTTCCATTTTCTTTCAATGTTGGTCACCTTTCCCCCCACGCACAGCCATCTGTCTCCCAGTCAAAAGCCCCCATCACAGGGAAGATGAAGCTAGGACTCCGCTCAGGCACATATCTAATGTGGTGGTCTCTAATGTGGCATTTTCCCATTGAATTCCTGTGGTTGCCAAGCCATGTGCATGAGACGTGGATGTGGAGTGCCCAAGACTCCATTATGTGTCACGACACCAAACAATCCACTGGGACGCGCTGCACTGGAGCCCAGCACAGATTTACTTAGAGCCATTTCTATAGAGCTCATCAACATCTTATCTGGACACCCGATCCAGCTGAGCTCCAAGTTTAAGACAGGGAGAATGTTGCAATGGGCAAGGCAAGAAAGAGTCAAGGTCCTAAGGCTGCAGGGCTAGTGGGGTAGGGGAAAGGTGAGAGCAGACACGCTCAACCTGACCCAACTTCTCTATTACCAAAATTGTTACTCATCCACCAACTCCAAGTGGCACACCCTTCCAATCAGAATCCCTCTCCCTGCTGTCCCAGCTCTACTTCTCTCACAAGCCTCAGACGGCCCACCTCACTTCCCAAAATCCTCCCCCCGGCACCCTCGTGAGAAGAGGGTGGTGGATTGGGAGGCACTTCACTGCCAAAGTCTCCTGCGCTCCCTAGTGACAAACATTCCAAAGCTCCTGCCAGCTGTCAAAGCACCCCCACTTTGAGCCACTTTCAGCAGCCGCACTCCGCTCTCCCAGCCCTCTCACTCCCATGCAAACACTGAAGAATTCTAGCAACAAAACCTAGGTCTCTTTAGGTTTGAACAATAGTTTCTGAAATTTCCTCTTTTCGGTTCTGTGAACCCCTCAAATTCTACAAAGCTTCCCATCCAGGATGTTTCAGAGACTTGTTTTTTAAGGGGGGGAGGGGTAACAGCACAATCAGAACACTACCGGTAGGTGCAGAGAGTTGCCATGTACCCAGCTGTAGTTCCATGTAAAGTCCAATTTGATTTAATAGACTTATACTGTTTGATTCTGTGCCACTGCTGGCCATCTGATTCTGAGCCTGGTAATAAACCTGACTGTAGCTAGAAATAATTGACTGCACTGGATTTTCTCAGTGCATCAAGTAACTATAGACACTCCCTGCCAATTAGGGCAAGGGCACACCAGGCAAGAGATTTTAAGTGATGTTCAGCCAATAGTGGTTGGAAGACGTAGTCTATTCTGCAGGAATGCCTTCAACAAGAGCTCAATGCAACATCTTGAGTGCTCGTGTTTTGCACAATGGATACTATAATTGCTAGGGAATGGTGTTTCAAAAATTCTCTAGTTCTCATTGAAACAGATGTAAAAGTTAATATCTGTGAACCCCATGCTCAGAGCTGCCTCCTGAATGATGTCACTCCCATTTAAAGTCTTTAGGGGCTGGGGGCTCTGAACCCCTTGCAGAATTGAACCCCATATTAGGAAGATTGATTCAAAATCTACCTTACGTTATGGTGCTGAGGATACATTACCTGAATGAGAGTTTTCCTTTTGGGTTATTTAAGAAAGACCGTTGGTGAGGCTGTACAGTGTTATGACCTTTCTATCATTTTTTAGCTTTGCTGCTTTATGCAAGTGACAGCTAGGCTGTGGTATGTGTCAGAACTGCAGGGAAAGAAAACAGTGTGGGAGGGGATTGGAGGGGATGGGAAGAAGTGAAACAAAGCAGAAGAAAAGGAACTTCATGCTAGAAAGGTTAAGAAATATTTGCTGTCTCCATTACATGCTACATCTTAGCCTCTCTGCACGCTCCCAATATATTCACATACCGAACAGTCACACACCAGACCCAACTGCTATTCTCAGGGTTGGATGTTTACTAGAGCTACTCATTCAGACTTAAGAGCAATGGAGTAAGTAAACAGCTTGATCTGCAACTGTGAAGCTAGGTCTGTACAAACAGCTGTACAACAGACCCATAATTTCAAAACCTATTGCACAAAACAGAGCCAAAAATGGGAATTAAAAAAAATTATTTTCTTCTCCATTTCACCTTTGTGTCCCTCTCCTCCCCCATGCCCTTCCTGCCCACCAAGAGCACCGTCACCTTCTCCCCACTCCACAGAGTAGCCAGGATTTCAAACTGCAGATGTCGGTGCCACTCCACTCATTAGCCAACAGTGTGTGTTACAAAACTAGAATAACCTCTGCAATTATGCTCAGCCTTTGCTAAACCAGGGAGTAAGAGTTGTACAGATTAGCAGTTCAGTACCCAATGAGCTCCACTGAGTGAGTTCAGGGAGTCATACAGCCTTATTTGTCTTTATAAGAGTGATGCCTATAGATAGTCCACTTGTCTTCTGTGTGCTAAAATGTCCACCGGGAGAATAAATAAGGTGAACTCATGGGGAACTCTGATTGCATTCTGTATTGGATACACACAGAAAATGCCACACCAGAACAGACCTACATAGTCTTGTATCCATCCTCTAACAATAGCCAGTCCCAGGAACATCCCAGGAAGAAGGCACAAAACCCATCATGATGTGATATCAGAGGTATGTAATACACATGCTTTTGGGACGCATTATGCTACCTAGCCTGTGCCATTCTATAACAGATTACAGGTGTAACAGCCCAGGTGATTTACCAAAGTCAAAAAGCATGTGACACATGCCTTTCCCTTCACTGACATGCACGTGGCAAAATGCCACAGTGCACTGCACCCAAGTACTTTTCCTGTTTCACTGTATAATCTAGTGTTTTGATCCATTCTAATTATTCAGTGTTGAAAACCTAGGGCACTAAATTGCTTTTGTGGTAATGTCTGTGCAAGCCTCTTACAGCCCTAAGTACACAATACTGTGAAACCTTTAATATTATGCTGCAACAGGCAGCTTCCTCATTACATACTGTCAGCCCATATTTGGTGTGACATTTTTGCTAAATACTGTCAGGAATAATTCACTGTGGAACACTCTTTCCAATCTATTTGTTGGGTGTGTGGTCTTTTAGCACATACATAAATGTATTCCCTGTTAGGAAGATAATCAGGTTAGAAACAAAGCACTTCCTGCATCCTTCAAAACCAGTACAAGGCTCCTGGAATTAATAATTAGCACTTAAACTTAGCTCCAGATACAGTAGGATTAATACTGAGCAGGTGTTTCTTGTTAGGGAAAGGACTAGCGCTGAGGGAATAATGAATTGTTTGGCTTGGGAAACTCAGAAATCTGAAAAAAACATTTGTTCAGTTCAAACTGAAATTGAGGTTTGGTTTGTTTTTTCTCACACACACACACACACACAAATGAAGTGTTGAGTCAAAGAAAACATCTTGCTTGATTCAAAATTATATGGTTTTTTTTTCATTTCAGGTTGCTTTTTGGATGTTTTTCCACTTTTTTTTTAATTAACACATTTCAAATAAAGCTGTTTTAGAATTAAAAGTCAAAATATTTCATTTTGAAATTGTCAAAATAATTTTTTTTGCTTCAAACTGTTGACATTTTTATTTTTAAATATTAAAACAAATTTCCATTTTCCCCAGTTTTTTTCAGCTGAAACTATTGCCAAATTTGACCAGAATTTGCAAATAGTTTCAGTGTCCTGAAAAATGCATTTCGTAGTGAATTTACTATTCACTAAAAATCTTTTACTCCACTTTAGAAAGTAGCTCATCTGGTAGCAGTTTGTCAACCCCTATGATGCAGAGGGCTCCACCAACATTTTCAGCCTAAGGAAAGCACTTCCCCCATTCCCCATGAAATGTCTGTAACTAATGCTTCTAACTGTTTGGCTACAAAACAAATTGATTTTGTCTTTGAGTCTGTGTGACTGGAGTTTATTTATTTTCTCTGGCATAGTGTTAGAAATTATCATCAAGATTGACTATCTAGTCTGTCTGGGTATTTACACTGCTCTCATCACAGCTATCAGAGAATCTAGTATTTAGATCATAGAATATCAGGGTTGGAAGGGACCTCAAGAGGTCATCTAGTCCAACCCCCTGCTCAAAGCAGGACCAATCCCCAACTAAATCATCTCAGCCAGGGCTTTGTCAAGCCTGACCTTAAAAACCTCTAAGGAAGGAGATTCTATCACCTCCCTAGGTAACCCATTCCAGTGCTTCACCACCCTCCTAGTGAAAAAGTTTTTCCTAATATCCAACCTAAACTTCCCCCACTGCAACTTGAGACCATTACTCCTTCTTCTGTCATCTGGAACCACTGAGAACAGTTTAGATCCATCCTCTTTGGAACCCCCTTTCAGGTAGTTGAAAGCAGCTATCAAATCCCCCCTCATTCTTCTCTTCTGCAAACTAAATAATCCCAGTTCCCTCATCCTCTCCTCATAAATCATGTACTCCACGCCCCCTAATCTATTTTTGTTGCCCTCTGCTGGACTCTTCCTAATTTTCCACATCCTTCTTATAGTGGTGGGGACCCAAAACTGGACACAGTACTCCAGATGAGGCCTCCAACCAATGCTAGAATGGGGGGAATGATCACGTCCCTCGATCTGCTGGCAATGTTCCTACTTATACAGCCCAAAATGCTGTTAGCCTTCTTGGCA